AAAATAATTCACTGCAGAACAAGTGCAACAAAATAATTCACTGCAGAACAAGTGCAACAAAATAATTCACTGCAGAACAAGTGCAACAAAATAATTCACTGCAGAACAAGTGCAACATAATTCACTGCAGAACTAAGTGCAACAAAATAATTCACTGCAGAACTAAGTGCAACAAAATAATTCACTGCAGAACTAAGTGCAACAAAATAATTCACTGCAGAACTAAGTGCAACAAAATAATTCACTGCAGAACTAAGTGCAACAAAATAATTCACTGCAGAACAAGTGCAACAAAATAATTCACTGCAGAACAAGTGCAACAAAATAATTCACTGCAGAACAAGTGCAACAAAATAATTCGCTGCAGAACAAGTGCAACAAAATAATTCGCTGCAGAACAAGTGCAACAAAATAATTCGCTGCAGAACAAGTGCAACAAAATAATTCGCTGCAGAACAAGTGCAACAAAATAATTCACTGCAGAACAAGTGCAACAAATAATTCACTGCAGAACAAGTGCAACAAAATAATTCACTGCAGAACAAGTGCAACAAAATAATTCACTGCAGAACAAGTGCAACAAAATAATTCACTGCAGAACAAGTGCAACAAAATAATTCACTGCAGAACAAGTGCAACAAAATAATTCACTGCAGAACAAGTGCAACAAAATAATTCACTGCAGAACAAGTGCAACAAAATAATTCACTGCAGAACAAGTGCAACAAATAATTCACTGCAGAACAAGTGCAACAAAATAATTCACTGCAGAACAAGTGCAACAAAATAATTCACTGCAGAACAAGTGCAACAAAATAATTCACTGCAGAACAAGTGCAACAAAATAATTCACTGCAGAACAAGTGCAACAAAATAATTCACTGCAGAACAAGTGCAACAAAATAATTCACTGCAGAACAAGTGCAACAAAATAATTCACTGCAGAACAAGTGCAACAAAATAATTCACTGCAGAACAAGTGCAACAAAATAATTCACTGCAGAACAAGTGCAACAAAATAATTCACTGCAGAACAATTGCAACAAAATAATTCACTGCAGAACAATTGCAACAAAATAATTCACTGCAGAACAAGTGCAACAAAATAATTCACTGCAGAACAAGTGCAACAAAATAATTCACTGCAGAACAAGTGCAACAAAATAATTCACTGCAGAACAAGTGCAACAAAATAATTCACTGCAGAACAAGTGCAACAAAATAATTCACTGCAGAACAAGTGCAACAAAATAATTCACTGCAGAACAAGTGCAACAAAATAATTCACTGCAGAACAAGTGCAACAAAATAAGGTGCAGAAATAATCACTGCAGCAATAAAATTACACTGGGAAAATGTAGGTTAAATAATAAAATAAAAATATGAAGGACTGAACACTAACTCTTAATTGTAAATTAGACAAAACAATTTACTCAGAGTAAAGAAAACACTTTACGTTAAAAAGAAATTTAAATTACACTAAGAGTGAATTTGTTCAAAGTAATATGAAAAATATGAATAAAAATAAAGCAAGAAACAAAACTGGAAGTGTAACACTTACAAGTGGCGGGGCACACAACACTTACAAGTGGCGGGGCACACACAACATATTCACTTATTCATTTTTTTTTTTTGTATATTCTCACAACAAAATCTTGCTGTGACTGATACGACAAAAATTGCTTGCAAAAATAATGGTACACAAGTCTGCGAAAAAAATCAAAGGAATAAGACACTGCTGGACATACGGAAAAAAATAAGGTACACATAGAAATAAATGGATAATTTAGTATACTGGGGTGAATATCACTGCATGAACTACAATAATGACAAATACTGGAGAATACAATGTTGAAAGAACACACAAAAAAATTAATGAATTACTTCACACAGAGTGACTGACTGGTACACTACACAATAATACTACAGACAGAGAGTAGCATAAAAACAAAAGATAAAAAGTATGAGATGAGCGATAACACGGAAAAATATTGCAAAAATAATGAGTCAAAGAAACACTGAGTCTACACTGAAAACACAAGGCTTAGAGTACACAAGAAATTCACTGTAAGTGTCTCACACACGCAAATGTCTTTAAATGCAGGAAAATGTCTAGAAAATTACCACTGAAGTCTGGAGTAGGTAGACGGGATGACGAGTGATGAGGGGAAGACTGGCGGGTGGTGATTCCTGCTACACTCGCACTGTTGTCGTAGGAATGCGCTTTCTAGGTGAACTCGCATAACTGGCTTATCTTTGGCGCTCAGCTACAATCTCTTGACCAATTATGTGAGCCAAAACAGTACTAGGACCCAGTACAAGGGTGGAAAAAGCCACAGGTAGATGAGTGAAGAGTGGGTGGCGGGTGGGTGAAGGGAGCGTGACTCACTCGCTGGCTCTCACTGGTGCGTACTACCACTCACTACTCACGAAGGTGGCTTAATTAACTAAGCCACTCTATGCCACAGGGATGGTGAAAACCACTCTTAGCAGCATCCAACTGGCAATATATGAGACAATACTTCAGAGGAACTTGCGTGGCTTACTTCTCTCTCTCAGCTGGGTTGGCTGACTGGCTTAACCCACGAGAATGGCTGACTGGAAGACGTGTAACGATGCACACAGCATGAAGGAGCAGGTGGATGACAGGAGACAGGCTGGATGGTAGGCTGAGGCAGGCTGACTAGCGTTAACTTCCACAGTCTGGCTTATTGAATGGCTTAATTGCAAAATCCGGGTCAACCCCTCGGAGATTGAAGCAATTAGCACACGAACTAAGCCAGGAAGCTTGAAAAAACGGCTGCAACAGGCTTGCAGGCTGGAGTACACAGGGTGGAGGTGAGTGAGGGTAGCTGCTAGCTGGAGGTGGCAGACGGTTCACCTCTGACCTGCCAGCAACCCACAAACAGTCTTCTAACGTCTGAAATACCCTTAAATCCACGCCCACACCAGTGCCACCAATTGTCATGTGGGTTCGATTACGTGGGTGGGGTAAAAATACTCGTGTAGGCTGGTAGTACGTATAATATATAACGGGAAGAATGGGAAGCACCATCAGCCGACCTGCCTCTCTCTGCTCCCTATCTTAGACTGACCCACCAGTGCCTACAGGGTGAGCGGTGTTTGAAATCATGCTATGGTCAGCAGCAACATGAATAACAGTCAGTGATTCACACAGACGGTTGGTAGTGAGTCATCTACTGGTACACTGGTTACTGGTAACTTGTTACTAGGAACTGGTACTACTACTGAGACCTTGGCCTTTGTTTATATATCTGTCCTTGTGGCCTCTCCTGTGAACAGTTTGACTGCTGATAAGACAGTCAGATGGGTGACTGATAAAAGCTTTAGTCATATACAGTCCATCTTACGCTGGTTGGCTTCGTTTTCCATTCGCGCACCAAAACCTTTCATCGCCTTTACCTTATATATCATTTATTTCCGTTGTATGTTATAACTGGCTAACTTTTATTAATGCACCACAATCTAACCTAACTAAACCTAAGTGCAGAAGTGTTTTGAAAATCCTATGTGAAAGAAATCCAGATAGAAACTGAGGACGAACATTGAGTGAACAATAAATTAGCCTCATATTATTATTTTTTTTTTTTAGTTTCCCCCAAGAACAGTCCCGCTCGTGGTACCTTAACTAGTATCGTCCTCACAATTAAGGAAAAAAATGTTTTCATTTGCAGAAAAGATTGACATTGTGAATGGTCGCCTCTGAAGTGACCTGGTATTCCCTCGTCAGTTTGTAGTTTGCGTACAAGTTGATATTAGCACTTGAGAGGTAACGTTGAGTATTTTCCCGGATATTGTCGTATAAGATACCTGCAGTTTATTACTACCAGATACCCGCAGTTTACTACTACAACATACATACAGTTTACTACTGCTTCAGTATATGTGCAGTTTACTACTACTTCAGGATATGTGCAGTTTACTACTACTTCAGGATATGTGCAGTTTAAATATATTTATTCTCCCGGCAACTACACGAGATGTGTAATGCTGGATATCATGTCTAATCTGCTGATTGTACCAGCGTCACCTCCCGCACCTTAAAAGCAGTACCTTGGTGCTGGTGAAATCCTCTTGATACCCTCCACTTCCTCAGATCATATCTGATTACCTCACTGTCCTGGGGGGGGCTGTATGACCCCTATGGATTTAGCGCCTTCCCATGATTACAATCGTAATAGGTGCACAGTGCACGCTCACACGGGTATTTTCCACTGTTTCACACCTCCCCCCCCCAGAACCTCCCCACTACATTTCCTCACATTCAACCAGAAAGGTCCAGGGTTGATTCCCAGAGCTGCGAAACGGATGGGTAAGTTTCGTTACACCTCCGCTGCTCCTACTCGGCCTACAGTAAACATTTGGTATCTGTTTTTAGTCTGTTGTCGGTTACATCTTTGGGAAAATAACTATGCAAATGTGTGGTATTATGTTATGCTGTGGTATTGTTATGTTATGCTGGAGTATTCAAGTGTTGGGTACAACATATTCACTGCTTTACCTAATAATGCAAATTAAAAGAAAATAAGTGGATGGGGGGGGGGGGGGAGTGATAGAGTAGGAGGACCTTATGGCTTTTTTTCTGGTATTTGAAAACGTATTTTGTTATGACCTCAGAGGGTCCTTTCCCTTGTGCACAGTGTTAATATTATACTGTAAAGGTAGTAATTTTAAATCACAATGTCGTGGCTGCAACAATTCACAAATAAGAAACATTTAGGAGAGAAAACTTTAAACTTTTTTTTTCCCTTACTGTAACGTCATCTAAAGTCTCCTCTCCAAAGTGTGTTGTCACCTGTAACCAGAGGTATTATTTATATCATTCTTGATTTTATTTGTATTTTTACTCAATGTATCCAGTGATGGTCTTGTAAGCTTCCTCTGAAAACCCCTGAAATTGTGCCCGAAATTGTCAATAGCAAGATTGCAACAATACGTGGGATATATCTCGCAGACATTTCAGTTGTTTTATTACTGACCTGTAGCCTACTTGTAGTCGGTTCCTGGGGTCATCGCCCCTGTGGCCCGGTACTAGACCAGGTCGCCGCAGCTTAACGTAGGCACCATAGCCAGGCTGATAAAGAATTAGACTTTAATTTATGTTCACTGTTTCCTGTTAAGTTCTGTCATCATTTTTAGTTTAGATATTATATTTTCTGAAACTGTCTGAGGCCTGATCACAGACAGGGTTGCGGGGGCGTTGACCCCCGAAACCCTCTCCAGGTATAGGTGTTTGGGTAATTTATAACAGTAAGCTTCACCCTGTGGAGCCAGCAGCAGTGTTGCAGTAGCTGAGATCATCCTGGCCCAAGTCTCAGCCGTCGCATCCCCCCCCACACTATACACTAATCTTCATTTAAGTGAATATGAGGAAATTCACAATTCATTTTACACCTGAAAACCTAGACCTTTTCCAAGGAGATCGTCAGCGTTTTCAAGCAACACTGCCGGTACATTGCGGGAAGTGATGGAAAGGAAGGGAGAGAAGGTTAACAGTCCGTAATGCAAAACTGATAGCTGTATCTACATTCCTATCTTTGTGCTTCCTGTCGCCCTACTTAATAGCATGAGTGAAGATAACACTGAAGGGTTGCAGTATGTCCCTCGCTGCTTAACGTTAGTATAGTTTTTGTTTTCTTAGCTATTCGATTGGTAGCGCAAATCCTGGTATTCGCATATCTTTACCTGTAGTGCACCTTACACCTTTACCTGTTGTTTTGTTGTTATCCCTTAACTAAACGTAAATATTACTTCATTTATACTACCATTATCAAAATAAACTTTTTCTTAGATCGGCCAGAAATCGACAAATTTTAATGCGTACAAAAATGCTCGTTCTATTTGGGAGAGTTTTTCATGCGTTGTATCTCAGAACATTTGACTGACACGGTGATTCGTGGAAGGAATAATGTAATAAGGTACTATCACAGTCTCTTCCGATCAGCCTACTTGGTAATGGTCCGGGAATGATGACCCCGTCCCTCCACGGCCCGCTTCATAACCATTTATCCTATTTGACGGGCTGGTCAGTTACTCATGGTGCCCGTGGCACCTAAACCAAAGTAGGCAATACAGCCTAACTGTGATCAAGTGAGAGAAGCAGCCGAAACAGAAAGCAAAGGTAGGAACAGAAATAACAGCAGGAGTACGGTAATGAGCATTTGGATAAAGGTTCAAGAGTTTTCAACACTTCAAATATAAATAATATTACCAACAGATTCTTAACTAGATGAGTTTCGTCTGCTCAGCAGGCTTCTTGAGTCGAAAGACAGAGGAAACAAGTAGTGGAGATGGAGATTCGGGTGATCAATCTCTCAGCACTGGTGTGTTCAGCGCCAGAGTTTCGACCAGTGTGAAACTAAAATACAAGGAGGCAACCTTTTATACTGCCAAAAGTGAGGTATGGAAGTGTGGATGGCGTCACAGGAAGCGGGGCGCACTAATGGAAGCAAGAAAATAATGGAAAAAGTACTGCAGCAAGCTACTCGCTCATGCTGAGCAGGTCCTCAGAACCAACTCTTCTCTCTCATGAGTCACAGCTATGTCAAGAGAAGCCCTTGCCTGTACAACGAGGGAATGTGACAAGTTCGTTCAGGCAGTTCTTGATCGCCTGGGTTGTGGTTTTTACAATGCGTTCTGCCAGCACCAACATTTATCAGGGGATTCGGGATAAGCAGGTTAGGCGGACTTGAGTCTTGGAGGTGTGGGAAGTACAGTTCTTGCACTCAGAAGGCTGGATGGGAATGTTGTAGTTCGAATGGTCATTTGAATTTAAATTTTAACTCATTCGCCATGGGTTCATACTCCACCCGCTCCATGGTTTGTGTTTATGGTAAATGCTTCTTTGTTTTGGAGGATCAGCTACCTTGGTGGTGGGATGGGGGATTGCCACTAGACTCGTAGCTATCTTAAGAGGAGCTTCATCAAGTTCATAGTATCTGTACCTGATCAGCTGGGCTATTGGTACTAGCAGCACGCAGCTCAATGTTGACAACCTGGCCTGTCAGAAACTGACGAGTAAGTAAGCAAATTCCCTTATGAAGATAGTCAGGGATCTGTTAGTATTTCCTCTTATTTATTAATATATATTAATTGCATCTCTACTTTTCCGAGGGAACATTTTGCACCCTCTTCTATGCCTCGTGTTCTCTCAGCGAGGAATTTCAATGTAAACATTGGAAACTAGTTCTTCCAGTACCTTCCCGGATGTACAAGAATGGTATACAATACCGACAAGATGAAATTAAGACATATGTGCAACATCTGGGTATCTTTATTGTATACCATTCTTGTACAACTTGTCAGACACTGCAACATCATGGAATCTTGATTCTGAGGACATGTACATAACGTTCACGACTTCGACAACTACTACTACAAATAACCCATCTCTTTGGGTAGGACCTACTTCCACTGGGAAATCCCCCCTACCAGTGACTATGCCCTCGTCTGCTACACGTCCCATTTCCACCTGACGTTAGTATATAAGCGCCAGGCTCCTTGCGTCTGCTACAGGATCTCCACGACTACGGTGCTCTTCGCACCTACTCCAAGGATGAGGGACTGATTACCTCATCTAATGTATATAGTTCTACTATCAAGTTATGTCCTGGAATTTGTATTGATAAAGCCACTGGATGGCGAAACGTCTACAATAAAGATACCCAGATGTTGCACATGTCTTAACTTCACCTTCCCGGGATTTAGGTTCTAAGTTTTACAGACGGTGTGTGGGGAATTTCCTTTATGTAAGATGACGCATGAGCTACAATGTTGTGAAACGTTAATCATTATGCCAGTTGTGCATTAGAGAGGGAGATCGATAATTCTGAGAGTCATCAATATGCGAGTTGAGCGTTAAAGAGATGTATCTTTCTGGCTCATGGCTGGCTGGGCTGGCATTATATAATACATGTCATTAATATAACATGCTTCCTCTTGTGTACAAAACGCTACTGCTGCTATAAATAGAAGTGAGACATTGTAGTGCTGCTGCCTTCATCATGCACTAGACTGCTGCTACCTTCATCATGCACTAGACTGCTGCTACCTTCATCATGCACTAGACTGCTGCTACCTTCATCATGCACTAGACTGCTGCTACCTTCATCATGCACTAGACTGCTGCTGCCTTCATCATGCACTAGACTGCTGCTGCCTTCATCATGCACTAGACTGCTGCTGCCTTCATCATGCACTAGACTGCTGCTACCTTCATCATGCACTAGACTGCTGCTACCTTCATCATGCACTAGACTGTTGCTGCCTTCATCATGCACTAGACTGCTGCTGCCTTCATCATGCACTAGACTGCTGCTACCTTCATCATGCACTAGACTGCTGCTACCTTCATCATGCACTAGACTGTTGCTGCCTTCATCATGCACTAGACTGCTGCTGCCTTCATCATGCACTAGACTGTTGTTACCTTTATCCTGAGCGAGGCTTAGATACGTATTTTGTTATTTTCTTGTTATATTCGCCTCCGCTAAGTACCAGTTAGAGCAGACTTCAATATTAGGCTATGTGGGTCAGCGGGCCGCCAACAGCAACAGCCTGGTTGACCAGGCTAGTGCCAGATAAGTCGGACCTCATACTGAACTTCAGGATTAGGAAAAGACTGGAAACCAGTCACAGGTTTGTTACAAATATGCCAAGTTGTACTTGCTAGTTCTACTATCCTAGTTGTTTACAGGGAAAATTGCGCCTGGACCCGCCTCTGACTCGACCCATCCACTGATTTTGTCCTCCAGGGCAAGGAAGTCGTCTGTACACATCAGTGCATTATTATTATTATTTACAAATAACCAACACATAGGAGAAAGAAACTTATGACGACGTTTCGATCCAACTTGGATCATTAAGTAAAGTGTGACTAGTTAATAGTTCAAGTCGGACCGATAAATAATAAGTTTCTTTCTCCTATGTGCGGGTCATTTATATATATTGTTCCAGTCACGGTATTGTGCCTTTATTATTATTATTATTATTATTATTATTATTATTATAGTGATATGTGTGATTTGAGGTTGCAAGCAAGACTGTATTAAGATTGTATTGGGAGTTGCGGATAGAGGTGAGAGAATTGTGATTGGTGCAGCGTGTTAATTTGTCATAGACTGCATTGTATAATTTATTGACTTCTTTGTTTAAGAATTTTAAAGTGTGTGTTCAGTGTGTTTATCGCACTGCTGCATAGTCACCAGCAATGACTAATCCATGTTCACAGACTGTAACCTTAGACGACATGTTGGTTCCTCCTTGGGACGTAATATTCCACTCCTTAGGACGTGATATTTTAGTTCTTGGGGGTTGATATTTCAATATTTGGGATACATTCCAGTCCATGGGGCAGAGGATTTTAGTTTTTAAGATATATTCCGGTTCCTAGGACGTGACATTCTAGTCTTTGGGACGTAATAGTCCAAGACGGATCGAACTGTTGTCTGGATCCATCAGAAAATTACTGGTTAACATAAGGAACATAAGAAAGGAGGAACACTGCAGCAGGCCTATTGGCCCATACTAGGCAGGTCCTTTACAATTCATCCCACTAACAAAACATTTGCCCAACCCATTTTCTATGCTACCAAGAAATAAGCTCTTTGCAAGTCCCTCAATCCAACCCCTCCCCTCATGTACTTATCCAACCTAATTTGAAACTCCCCAAGTCCTAGCCTCAATACCCAACTATGTACTTTTTTAAACGGTATTGTTGTATTCTAATAGCTAGTGGTTTGACCAGGTATTGTTACTGGCATTCTACATAGCTAATGTACAGCCATATTAATGTGACCGTATCTACATAGCCACTTTTTATCAGGTAAATACCTTTGATGAGTTACGAGATTAATTGCTTCTACCGGCCATGGCCAGCGTGTCTGAGTTAGCCTGGTCACCCAGGCCATTTATTTATTATATAATCAAGAGATGTATTAATGGAAAGTAAAGTACACTGCTGGCTTACACGCTGTGTAGAGTGAACATGTAACGCATATCACAGTAAATTTCCTGTGGTTCATCATGTATCCTAAGTGAGATATTGTGTTTCACAATGTGAAACTTGGGTTTAATGCTATAATGTGTTTCACAATGATGAAACTTGGGTTTGATAATGCTATAATGTTTCACAATGATGAAACTGGGTTTTAATGCTATAATTTTTTCACAATGATAAACTTGGGTTTTAAGCTATAATGTGTTTCACATGAGAAACTGGGTTTTAATGCTATAATGTGTTTCACAATGATAAACTTGGGTTTTAATGCTATAATGTGTTTCACATGATGAAACTTGGGTTTTAATGCATGTGTTTCACAATGATGAAACTGGGTTTTGATGCTATAATGTTCACAATGATGAAACTTGGGTTTAAATGCTATGTGTATTCACAATGAAACTTGGTTTTAATGGTATTGTTATTGTTTCACAATGATGAAACTTGGGTTTAATGCTATATGTGTTTCACAATGATGAAACTTGGGTTTTATGCTATGTGTTTCACAATGAAAACCTTGGTTTTAAATGCTATAATGTGTTTCACCATGATGAAACTTGGGTTTGAATGCTATGGTTTCACAGATGAAATTTTGGGTTTTAATCTATAATGTGTTCACAATAAATGGAAACTTGGTTTTAATGCTAATGTGTTTCGACAGTGAGAAACAGTCGGTTTAAGCTATAATAGTTTCCTGGTGTTAAATTGGTTTTAATGCTATAATGTGTTTCACAATGATGAAACTTGGGTTTTAATGCTATAATGTGTTTCACAATGATGAAACTTGGGTTTTAATGCTATAATGTGTTTCACAATGATGAAACTTGGGTTTAATGCTATAATGTGTTTCACAATGATGAAACTTGGGTTTTAATGCTATAATGTGTTTCACAATGATGAAACTTGGGTTTTAATGCTATAATGTGTTTCACAATGATGAAACTTGGGTTTAATGCTATAATGCACACAGTGTGCGCGTTATTTTGTATATAAAAATCTAACGTTTTCTATACTAACCCTAACGTTATAAAGAAGCACAAACTGACATATTGTATAAAAACAAATTGACGTTATATCGTAAAGAAACACAAATTGTGATAATTTTAGATGAAGTTTGTCTAAATTACGTTTTAAGGTAGAATACGAACTGATAGTGTTATAAAGACGTCGCAGAGTAAGACTGTTACTCAATGTTTCGCTCGAAAGTGAGCTGATCTTTGAGGTAAATGTTGCTTGGTAAAGTCTTGTACTCACCTAGTTGAGGTTGCGGGGGTCGAGTCCGAGCTCCTGGCCCCGAGGGTGTTTGTTAGTCTTCATAATGATGGTTAATATTTTATAACGTTATTACATGAGCATTGATTAGTGCACGAGGTTACCAGCAACTGGGTCGTGTTGGGTGGTGCACAAGGTTACCAGCAACTGGGTCGTGTTGGATGGTGCACAAGGTTACCAGCAACTGGGTCGTGTTGGGATGGTGCACAAGGTTACCAGCAACTGGGTCGTGTTGGATGGTGCACAAGGTTACCAGCAACTGGGTCGTGTTGGGTGGTGCACAAGGTTACCAGCAACTGGGTCGTGTTGGATGGTGCACAAGGTTACCAGCAACTGGGTCGTGTTGGATGGTGCACAAGGTTACCAGCAGCTGGGTCGTGTTGG